GTGTGTGTGTGTGTGTGTGTGTGTGTGTGTGTGTGTGTGTGTGTATGTGTGTGTGTGTGTGTGTGTGTGTGAGAGAGAGAGAGAGAGAGAGATTACTGGCAGATGTACATCGGGCATGGAGCTCAGGATCTGATACGACATTTTGAGGAAGACATTGATTGGACATTCGGCTGGGATACTTTTTTTGGACTTCGCTATCGCAACCTTGGTCTTCTCCCGCCTCACCATCTTCGTCTCGCCTCCCCCCCATCTTCTCATCCGTGGTATCTCCCCCATGTGCATGTTCAAGGAGGGACCTTTCTTCCATGTATGTGGTCCCTCCTCCCTCTCTCACATGTGTGGTGTATGATGGGGTGTCGCTTCAATATCTGACAGGTCAGGTCATATCGTTGAGTCTTCCGCTGCGCTACATTGTGCTATTTTCATATGTATCTGGATGTACATTGCTTGTTGATGTTTTGCTGACACTGCATTGTCCATTCGAGTCGTTTTCATCACTTCGCGGATCCTTGGCACACATCGCTCAACTGAGCATGCATCAGAGAGAGAGAGAGAGAGAGAGAGAGAGAGAGAGAGAGAGAGGTGGAAGAAAAAGTAATCTTAATGTCTCATGTTTTTTCTTTTGTGTGTTGGCATTCCCATGTGTGTGTGTGTGTGTGTGTGCGTGCATTGTGTGTCCATGTTGTGACAGGTGATCATTGAGCTTCTTTGTCATGTGTTCTTCCATCACTGCATTGCAGAAGCTTCACTTAAGGTTGCCAAGTGTCGAAAAGGTGGAAGGCAGGGGGAAATTTTCTGGCCAGAATTTGATTCGTTGTCCCCAGTGAATGAGTGGGTTCCAGTCAAGACAACGCGTAGGTGTTGCGGACAGCATTCCATCAGCTGGTCCTTTTTTAGCGATTTAATTTGGGGTGCTGCTTCTGAAGTCATTCTGTCTGATCAAGTAGGGTCTGGTCGAGAGTTAGTTGTGTTCAGCTCTGAGCAAGTGAGTGGAAAAGCTGCGAAAGTAGTGTCTTACTCTTCTGTTGCATTTTTTTAAACAGAATAGCATGTACACATGGGAACCATTGTGGTTCTGTGTCTACTCTTGCCTAATGTCAATTTGATGTTTTTTTTAAGCCTCTTCAGAAGTGACAGCAGTCAATCTTGTACGGGGACAGCTGTGTACTTTATTGAAGACCGGAAATGAGAAGGTAAGTGCATAAACACAACATCGTGTGTGTGTGTGTGTGTGTGTGTGTGTGTGTGTGTGTGTGTGTGTGTGTGAGAGAGAGAGAGAGAGAGAGAGAGAGAGAGAGAGAGAGAGAGAGAGAGAGATGGATCGGAGGTCAGGCAAGAAGCATAGCAATAATTGTGTGAAGATAGGTTTGGCAGTATGGTGTCTGACGTTTGTAAATGTGATGCTCATGCGTTTTGGCACACATCGGTCTTTGAGCAGACCTGGTGGATCGCCACGTGTGCTCTTGATTACAGCGAGTCAACCAGGCTGCGGTACTAAATATGGAGATTACGTCACGATGTGTGCGCTCAAAAACAAAGTTGATTATGCCCGTCGGCACGATATTGACGTCTTTTTCTCGTTGGAGAAGTATGTATCTGGTGGCCATCGGGTTGATGGCCTTCACAACAAGATTTTCGTCATCAACAATACAATGGTCAATCGCCCGGGCTACGACTGGTATATCTGGATGGATTCCGACACACTTATCATGGACATGGATTTCTCCATCCCTTGGTCCAAGTATGAGGGCAAGAGTTTGGTCCTATGGGGCAACCATTCTGAGTTTGACAAAGTTATTGCCGGTGCCAATTACCTTTCCATAAACTCAGGGGTTATGTTCCTCAGGAACAACGATTTCACACAGTCGCTCTTTAAGTCAATGTCCAAGATCTGGACTAAGGGTTTTAAGGAAGCTGGTAACTTTCTTGCGCAAGTCGTTCAGGACATGCCTCCATATGCCAGTGACCAGTCCACCCTTATGTATCTTCTTGCCACTGAACCGGACAAGTGGCGGAAAGGGACACAGTTCGTTTTCGACGAGTACAGCATCAACTTTTATTGGAAGGGTGTGCATCCTGAGGAGTACTACAATAGCGGCTGGAGAGGTGATGGGACAAGCCCACCATTCGTTGCACATTTCTGTGGCTGTGAGCTGTGTTGGACAGAAAATGACAACACGGACAAGTGCCTGGCTGAGTTTATTCGTATTTTTAATTTCGCGGATGATCAGGTAATTGGACGACTTGGAATGAGGCATCAGAACCTCAGCACACCGGTTGTTGCCAAGGTTGAAGATCCGCTCTGGTACAAGCGAAGAGCCCATGTTGACGGTGAACGAGAAGTATACATAAGGTAGCGGTTCTGTTGCCGGGCCATCAACTCCCGAGTCTGTGGATGCGCGTTTACAGAGTTTTTTGGGGGACATGTTTCAACAGCAGGTGAAGCACCTGTACATCATTCCAGTCGTCATTGTTAGACTGTTTTTGGCAGGTTGCCAGCTATTTGTAATCAGAAGATTCGGAACAATAAACTGGTGGGTGGGTGGAATCCGCATCGCATCATGTGGTGTCACTGATGGTTTGTTGACATGCATTGAGACTTCGCTGTCACCCTCCTTCGGCGAAGTACAAACTGCATGTGATTGATGCCATGGTTTGATTGGTTGACCTTCTGGTTGTCTGAACTGGCACACAGTTGTCTGTACCGTACACGGCTTTAATAAAGAGTTTGGCGGTTCTACTTTGAGCTTGTTTTTCACGATAGCGTGTATTTTTTTTTTTTGTGTGTGTGTGGAATTTGTGGGTAACTATCCCGATCTTCCACCCGGCAATTGCACCCCTGGCATGATGAGATAGATATTGGTTTCGTAATATTTGTTTTGAAAATGTGAGGTGGTTGTCAGCAGAGCTTCTCCATCTGATCTTTTACATAGAACCGCAGGTGCAATAACCACGTCAGTGGAACAGCAGGTGGCGGTCAGCGGAACGGCAGGTGCGATAACGCGGTCAAAAAGGAAATGTTGCAGGAAGCCACTTCAAAGAGGGGATGCAGGGCCACATAAGAAAATGTGATATGCATAAGTCTGCAGCAAGGTCTCCATATCTTCGTAGGCATATGATTGTCTTCACAGAGGACTGGACTCGCGGTGAATTTTATGTGTTGAAGACGCAAGCGGCATGGAGAAGAAACATTTGCTGGAGTGTCTTCCCAGTTTGCAGCAGGAAAATAGGGTTGGCTAACTTGGCTCACCTGGATTAAGGAGGGGGTCATGAACTAATTACTATTTGCCAACCCGTAGTTCATGGAAAGGAAGGGACAAATAAGGAAAAGATCGATGGAAAGCTGAATTTCCAGTGAGATCTGCTTGGGAAAAGGCAAGGGGTGGTATCATTATGCTGTCATGATGTGTCGTCAGAAAACTCAGGTGTGCACTTGCAGCTAGACGACTGGCGGTAATGTTACGTGAGGCACGCAGCTGGCATGTGAGGCATGTGGCTGGCATGCGAGGCACGCGGATGGCATGTCCCTGAGCGAGGGAGTGGGCAACCTCTTGCAAGGTGGTTTGATTGGTGGGTGGTTGTGGGTCATGTGAGAGTGCCGGTGCGCACTTTGTTGTGTGGGTCATGTGAGAGTGCTGGTGCGCACTTTGTTGTGATGGTTTTAACTATTACGTCGTCGGGCAGAGGTCATGAGAATCGGTGCAATCTTCAGAGTGACTAATTAGTAATTATGTGCTTGCAACTGTGTCGCATACTCCCAAGAAGAGACGATCACCAGTAATGCAACAGTTTTAACGCCATTGTAACATGGTGAAAGAGATTACATGGAAACTACTGCCATCTGGGCCGATAGACTGTGGAGTTGGTCCCATGCAGTTCGACACGATGGAACTCTGTGAGACACAGCGTGTACATGCGGCTAGAAATGAGACCGACCATCGAAGTACATCTCTTACGAGGAGTTTCTTTCATACGTCAAGGGCTGGTAAGGTTTTGCGCATTGTATCGAATTAAACCACATGCTCCACCACTTGTGCAGGGCCCTGTCAATTCCTCTGAGTTTCAGCCTTGAGTACGATGAGATTGCATGGCAGAGCGCCTGGCTCAGTTGGTACACCCATAAACTGTTGAAGTACAGACCAGTTGGGATCCAGATGCGATAAAAAATTATACCGTTGGATTGCATGGCAGAGAGGCAGGTGGTTGAGTGCTATATGCTGATTGATGGCTGTGCAATGTTTGTGGTTTCAGGGAAACGGATGGACAGCCATTGCGCACAGGCAAAGGTTGGGCCATGATCGTCCTGTTGGAAGCGTCGAGCATAGTGGTAGGGGGTACTTCATGTGTTGCAGATTTGAGCGGCTTCCTGAACATGCAGTCAGTGCTTGTTTTACGTGTAGAAGACAACTGGGTTGCTCTGCATGTAGAGGGTGTCTCGCTGGGTATTTAGTTTTTGTGTTGAAGACACGAGCGGCTTTTCGGAATAAGTACCGTGGGTATTTGAGCTTCTAACCTGCTGGAGATCGTGAGTGCCACGAGGAACACGTAGTGGGCGGGTGTTTCATCACTGCAGTTCGACAACTTAACGTGTCGAAGACAACTGGGTTGCTCTGCATGTAGAGGGTGTCTTGCTGGGTATGAAGTCGGTGTTTATTTTATGTGTTGAAGCCACGAGCCGCTTTGTGGGACGAGTATCATGGGCATTTGAGCTTCCAACCTGCTGGAGATCGTGAGTGCCGTGAGGAATATGTAGTGGGTGGGTGTTTCAAAACTGCAGTTCGGTAACGGACCTTTCTCTTGGAGGAAGGAAAGATTAATCTGATGATATTCTTGTGGAGGTCGCAGTTGATGTATTCGGTAATCGTATGGATGGTAAAGAGCCATGTCATCATCCTAGGTAAGAGGATTCTGTTCTGCCTGTTGACTCTTTTGGTCGGTTGCATTTCCCAGTGCCAATTTGCAGGCTCTGATATCTGTCTATCTGCCTGCTGGTGCATTTGGATGTGGTGACTTTTCCCGATTGAATTTGGATGTGGCAACTTTTCCCGATTGAATTTAATGTGGTGAATTTTCCTGGTTGAATTTGAATTAGGTGACATTTTCCCGTCAGTACAGGTTTGGATCTCTTTTGGTAAATGACCAGTTGCGGATCTTGTGAAATGTGCTGAGCATTCCACAGCTGCGGCGTTTATGTTCAGTCTGCTGTACATCAGAACACTAATATTTGAATGCATGGCCTGATTGTGTTATCGGTTCTATGTATGTACCATTCGCTTGGCAACCATGCACCCAGTCACAGTGGGCCCATCCTGTGACTGGTCGTGTGACTTGTATCCATGATTTTGGCATATCCTGATGCGTTCAGTGTGCTTCTGCTGTGAACGCACTTTTTTGGTGTTGGATGTTTTAGCAATAACCCATGTTGTTTGCCTTGTGGAAAAACTGAGGGTCTCGCCAGGCCACATCCAGGCCCAGGCCAAAAAGGGGAAAATACCCCAGCAAGAGATTCAGGGCCTGAGCGAGGTACAGTTGACAAAAGTCAACTGTCGAAGACACCAACAGTCAAAGTCAACGTGTACCCAGCCCAGGTCGCCGGTCAGACGCACACACTTGTTTGTATGCAGGTACCCAGACGGCATCAGGTCCAAGGGGAAGTCTGCAACTGTATATACAATCCAGGCCCTCGGCTGAGAGTCAATCTGTACGACTGCCCGAGGCCAGACAGCTTCGTTAAACATTACAAAGGGACTGGTCTCGAGGTGGTCAACATTCAGTTTTGCTATGCTGCTTGGACGCTGGCATTGACGCTGGCACAACGCTGCCTAGACGCTGGCTGTGCACAGGCGTTGTGGACGACAACGCGAGGTTGAGGCAGCATGCTGGCGCTTGCTGTTCTGTGCGCCAGACATTGCTGAAGTGGCGCTGCCGCCTGTCTACATTGCTGATGTGGCGCATGCCAGTGGTCTACATTGCTGATGTGGCGAATGCCATTGGTCTACATTGTTGATGTGGCCCTGCCACCTGTCTTTATTGATGATGTGGCGCATGCCATTGTCTCTACATCTGACGTGGCATAGGCCACGCTGTCTACATGAGGTGACTGGTTGCGACAAGGAGGGAGATCGGGATCTGTGGATGATTTGGATCGGGTACTCACCTGAGGTTGGCGTCGTTACTGTATTCTGTTGTTGTCTTCATAGTCTTCACGAAATAAGAGTGTCATGTGACACTTCTGTGTGATCAAAACTTATCAGACTTTTTACTATTATTGATTGATGGCGTGGAGGGAGAAGAAGCCCGGAGGAGTGGGAATGGTTGGGGTTATTATTGTGTGGTCCTTGATTATTGATAATTCAGATATCACTTCACAATAATTGGAGACTTTGTGCAGATCCGAGACTACTTGTGGTTGATGTCTGACGAGTATCTGCCAGACTGGGCTTATTACAATTTGGTACCGGAGCATGCTCCTTCATCGCAATCTGCTGCCAGGTGCTGACGTGACACCCAGGTAAGTGGGAGGTGCCGCATGAGCAGGACGAAACACGTTTATTAAGGTGTGCGGTTGATACTGCAGGTCTAGACATGTAGTACGGCACATGCGTGCAACCTCCCTTGAAGGTGATGACGTGCCTGCATTGAAGACTTCAAGATACCGGCGAGAGCTCCGTTAGCATCAGGCTGACGTGGCACTGGTCCACAAAGAAAACAGGACCGCTGATGTGGCGCACTGCGTATGTGGCATGACGTGGAATGTTGATGTGGCATTCTGGCAGAACTTGGTCTGACATGGCACATACTTGTGTTGTGAGTGCCTGCTGATGAAGCACTGACGTGGCTTGCCAGTGCCGTGTGTGTTGCAGGCATGCATTGCTGACGTGGCACCCCCACCTTGTAGACCATTTGGTCCTTAACGCTGATGTGGCAGACTGCATGGCTGCTGTGTTGGCATCCCAGTGGTGACACGTGGCATGCATAACATGCTTCCGTGGAGGAACTGTTGAGTGTGCACTTGTGTGCCCGCAGACAGTAGGGCTTCACGATTTGCTGTAGTGTCGAGTGTTGGCCCTTGTATATTGGTTGCATTGGTTCTGCAGATGGTACAGCCGTAGAGGGAGGAAGCTAACCATGGATTGTGTTGTTGTGTTGGCTGACATACTTACGTGTTGGTTGTTCTGTGGTTGTTGTGTGTACTCACAAGAGTGTTGTTGTCTTGATCACACTGGTCGTGGCTGTGGTACATGTACATTGTTGTAAGATGTCATCACACAGAAAATAGACAGCAAAGTTAGAATAGGAAATCAATTGAGAACTTACTCTTCCTCTTTGTTTAATTTTCTTTTTGCTGTAAAAGTTGCGTGTGTCGTGGAATTTATTTTTGTCTTTTAATTTTATTTATTGTGCGGCATCTTCACATTGGGAAAAATGACTTATCTCTGGAAATGTCTACGTGCTTCTATCCTTGCACGGTTCATACCGCTCTTCTTCTTTCCTATCCCTCCCTCTCACTATCTACGCTGATGAAGAAGGGGGGGAATTGAAAACCCGTGATCAAATTGATGCAAGAAGACAGACATTGATTGGTTTTCTTCGCAAGTTGCTCGGTGAGATACACTGTGCCGGTCCAGAAGCTGAACGGCACGTTCACAGACAGCTCAATCTGCTTGGTGCAGAAAAAGAGTTGTAGGCTACTGAAACTATCGTTCAGATGATGGAAACCGGTAAGAGAGTGAAGGAACTTATAAAGCAAGGGCGAATGACCCTTGACCGGTATGTCGCCGAGGGTTTTGACAAGATGGAACAGGAAAGGAAGAAGAGGAAAGAAGAGGAGAAAAAAAAGAAAGAACCACAATTGTTTGTGGAGATAATGGAGGAGAAAATTAGACAATTAGAAAATACATTGAGAGAAGAAAAGAGAAGGATTGAGAATTTCGGAAACAACGAGAACAGCAAGAAGAAGAAAAAAGAGTAATGGAGGAACTACGACAGAAGTTCCACTGCGAAGAAACAAACGAGTTTGCATCCATTCTTCAGTCTATCGAAGTTTGCCTTGTTCACCTCCAGAGGAAAATGATTAACAACACTGCCTTATTGGAAGCGTTGTCGAGCGGGGAACCCCGGGGGCAAAGCCGGTGTTAGGCTGCGGACCCCGGACCCCCGCCGCGGGGTTCATCCAACCCCGCCACCGCCG